CCCCCCCCCCGGGACCCTGCGACCGTCATAAACGTGAGTCAGCTGCCAAGTGTTCACATTCTGCTCACGTGACCCTGGGATGCTCCGACGGTTGTAAGTGTGAAAAATGGCCCTTTTTTCAGAGCCATTGTAACTCCATGATTGTACGTCGTGGAGTACCTGTAGAATGTTATAGGAATTCCTCTTTCCTTCCTCTTTTGTCGTGTTAAAATATCCCAGCTGAATGGTCTCTGGGGGACCCCAGATGCGGTCCTGCCTTCTCCTTGATACCCCACTGGTCTAGAAGGTCCAAGTCCATTCTTAGCAACCCTGGCGTTTGTTTGTTTTTTGAAGAAAATCTGGGAAGATTCACCCAGAGTTCTCCTTCCAAGCTGGAGAACGTCAAGTTCAGGGGCTGCACCCAGAGTCTCTCTCTCTCTTTGTGTGTGTGTGTGTGCGTGTGTGTGTGTGTGTGCCCTCATCTTCCTTCCCCCACTCCACCCTACTTCTTTTGCAGTGAAGCTGGTCCTGACCCGGGTTCTGCTGATCACCGCTGACCTTCTGGCTGGCCTTGGATTCGTGTTTCTTCTCCTTGGCCTGGACTGTGTGAAGTTCCTCCTGGATGAACCAGGGATCAAAAACCGCATCTGCTTCCTCTCTGGCTTGGTGCTCTTAACAGGAGGTAGTTTGGCCCACAAGGTCTGCTCCAGAGGGGGGTTGTGAGGTAGATATGGGGAGCTACACCCCCAGAAGTTCCTTCTCCCATTCATGGCATCGTGCAACGGACCTTGAATCAGCTGCATGGCTTCTGAGATGCCCCTGAGACGGGGGAGACCATCCTCTGAAGAACGTCAACACGTTCTCTCATGTTTGGACCCATGAGAAGATGCAGGCTTCAAGGTTTCTCCTGGGCTTCTTTAGAATGAGGAGGAAACCCACTATTTTTTCTTTCAGAGTACGGTCTGAAGAGTATGGTCAAAGTCGGTCAAGATCAGAGGTCCTCAAACTTTTTAAACAGGGGGCCAGTTCACTGTCCCTCAGACCGTTGGGGGGGG